ATGAGTCTGTGAGTATAGCTGAAGACCACATAACAAGAAACAGTGCCAGACAGGAGAAACCTTCCTCCAACACCAGGGTGGTCCAAGAGACTCCCAAAATTATACAGGCTATTGCCGCAGTTCTTGATTGCCTCCCAGAACTGCAGAGTGTGGGTCCTTGGACAGGAATCCTATATTAAAATCCACTCACCCAGAGCTTAGGGACCATTGTGGAAGAGGGGGTGTAAAGATTGTAAGAGCCAGGGAGGAGGTGCAAGACCATATGGAAATACTCCTACAGGTACCTGGGACCCTTCTTATACAAACCTACAGCAATGGTGTCAGCGTGCACAAGACCCATGTAAACTTGGGCAGACAAAAACCCAGCAAGAACTGTATAAATGAACAGCAACCCACAATCTTAGTGGAAGAATTATTGGCAGCTGATTACTGCTGGGTGAGGAAGAGCTGATCTTCTTGAAGGGAGAGACTCTAGATGGGCTGACTAAACCCCAGTGGATGAACTCACACTGAGGGACATCTCAGGACACTAACTTTACATAATAAGCCTTAATACAAATGACAGAATGTATGAATTCCACTGTGGGGTGCTATGGGAGGTGCCAAAGAGGAGGGGGGAAGGGGGTATGAACATGATTTTATGTATGAGAAACAAAAACTCAATAAAAATTAAGAAAAGAAAGTTTATTTAGCCTACAGTTCCAGAGAAGAGTCCATAATGCAGAGGAAGCATAGCAGCAGGAGGTGGCCAGAGAAACTGAGAGAAGTAGAGAGAGCCAGACTGGAAGTGGGCATCACTATACACCATGAAAGACTGTGACTTGCTTCCTCCAGAATGGTCACACCTCCTAAAGGTACTATGACTTCCCCAAACAAAGCCATGAACTGGGGACCAAGTGTTCAAATACTTGAAGCTTATGTAGCACACTCATTCAAACCACAACATTCCACTCCCTGACCCCTGTAAGTTCATGACTGTCATAATGCAAAATGCATCTAATCCAACATTAAATGCAAAGTGTCTTCTGAGACTCAAGGTACTCTCTTAAGTGTAAGCCCCCTACAAAAATCAAATTACACTTCCAACATACAAATGGAACTGAATATGCATTCCCATTCCGAAAGAGAGGAATGGAGGCATAGTGCAGAAATACCAAACCAAACCAATGACAGCAAAACTTAGAACAGCAAACACCAATTCCTGCAGCTCTATGTTTGGCATCTGGTGCTTTACTTTCAAGGGGCTTAGATGGCTCTGTCCCTCCTCGAGCTTTGCTGCATGCAACATTCATCTTCCACAGGGTTGTACCGCTCCCTGCATGCAGCTCTCCTGGGCAAATGTCTAACTGGTCTTTGATTTCCAACTCCATTGTCAATCAGGTTTCACCTTCACAGTTTCCCACGATGCCATGCCAGGACATTCTTTATGCAGGTACACCCCCGCTGTACTGCTGTCTGGTCCTGGTGGGTCTCTGAAACCATGGAGGAAAAGCTGACGACACCTGCACGCTTGCATCCTTCATGCCTCTAAAGCCAGCACCACTTGAATGACACTGCCAATGATGGCTTCCAGTCTGGGATGGACCCTGGCCTGCTTCATCCACACAGGCAGCTTTTCTAGGCTGCGGGTTTCAAAGAGAAGAAAAGCCCTCTGGCATTTTGGAGGCCTAGCTGGGTGTGGTCCTGCCCCATGGTACTCCTTCCATTGTTCCACTTCAAATCCACAGGCCTCTCTTTAATGGCTCTGATCTTATTAAAGAGAAGCTCTCCTTCAGCACAAGTCTTGGATCTAACATTAATCTCCCTAGAGCTCTTTTTCTCTACAAACCCTACATTCTGCATTTCTTTCTGCCCCACTTGCTGTTTTTCACTGTAGATCACCATAATATTTGCCTTTAATAACCATGCCACTCACTCAACACTAGGCTGTCTTGAAATTTCCTCTGTCAAAGAAAGTAGTCCAACACTTTTCAGCTTAGCCTCAGACAAGCTCTAGGCAGACAGAGAAGGCTCTAGGCAGACAGAGAAGTCAGACTCTGCCAGATTATCCCAGTTGCTGCTAAGTCCTTGTTTCCCTCTGGAACTACATTGTACTCAGCACTACTTTCTTCCAGGCTCCTTCTAGATGGGCCCATTAAGCTCTGCTTACAGAATTGAACTGCTTTTCTACTCCAAACTTCCAAAGTCATCCACGTTCCTCTAAAAACCAACATGGTGAGGCTCTTGGAAACAACAGCCTACTCCTGGTACCAACTTCTGTGTTAGTTACTTTTTTGTTGCTGTGATAAAACACCATGACTAAGATCAGTGAGAGAAGGAACAGTTTATTTGGCTTATGGTTCCGGGGTGGGGGTGTCCATCGTGGTAGGGAGGCCTGGTGGCAGGAGGTAGCCAGAGAAGAAAGCCAAGTGATCACATCTTCAAGCAGGCACAGGAAGGACACTGGAATTGGGCATGGCTAAATACCCTCAAAGCCCACCTCCAGTGATGTGCTTCCCCCAGCACGGCCACCTGAAGGTACCATGACCCTCCCCAAACAGAGCCATGAACTGGGGACCAACTCTTCAAATACTTGGAGCTTATGGGAGACACATTCGAACCTGCACAACCTCCTATGAAGAAAACTTTGTGTCGTTGTTTTCAAAACAGAATGAAAGCCCCCTGGTGAATTTATGTCTACTGTGTTCCTCCAGAACATTCCTCCACTCAGCATTGAATTGCTGAATGATGGCAGATTAAATCTGAATCATTGTTTTGCTAAATCTGTTTCAGCTCCCCTACATGGTAATAACTTGTACATTTTGTCAACTAAAATAATTTCAAAGTAAATTATACTTGTAGATTCATGACATTATCATTACATCCCATGGGGGCAAAATTTGTATTACAGTGTCTACTTTGGACAAGCTGTCATTTAATAAAATGCTTAAAAAAAAAAAAGGAAAAAATAAGACAAAGTTGCATACACACAAAAGAAGGACTTCTTGGTGAGGGCATGCATCCTTCCTTCTGCATCAAGTCAGAACCCAGAGCAAGAATCAGACAGCACCTCCCAGGAAGTCCCACTGGGCTCTGCCCAGAGACCACACTGAAGACTAGCCACTGGACGTGACCTCTTCCAGTCTCAGAAGCTTCTTTCAAATTGGACCCTGGCTTTGAAAGTTAAAGGAGGGGAAGGGGCGGGACAGGAAAAAAGTCCACGACCCCCGGATGCCCTGGGCACTTCTCCTCACCACAGCCTCCTTGTCACCACACAGGCAGGATCATTAGGACCAGAAAGTTTCTGGCTGAGCAAATGCCAGGCACCAGGGAGCGCACAGAGCTGCCTCCCAAATGGAGACCTGCGGGGGGAGCCTTTTCCCCTGGCGAAGCCCAAGTCCTGACAGCAGTGAGAGCTGCGGTGAGACCTGGGACTGGAGGGTGATAAACAGGGCCTGGCAGGTGCTGGGAGGACACCACCCACAGCCGCCACTGACTGCACAGGTGAGTGCTCCCTCCCTGGTCTGCTGATTGGGGCCGCCTTTGACTCTGGGTGGGAAGCTGTTAGCAAGGCTGGCTAGGGTGAGAGAAAGGTCTCACTGTCCCTGTCACTGAAGAGGAGGAAGGTTTCAGGACCCTGGGAGGACGCAGCCTGTCACTTCCCACCTGCCATCTAGAATTCTTATTCTCTTCATGAGAGAGCCTGTGTGCAGCAGGGTGTGTGGTGCCTGTGCCAGAGCCTTTCATTACACGGGCCAGGGAGGGACAGGAGAGAGTGAAGGGATTTCAGCCTGCCTGTGGGAAACCTTTACATTTCGCTTTCTGCACGGCCTTTGTGTGTTTTCCCTCACAGAGCTGAAAGAATAACACATACCTATAAGCCCATCATTTGGAAGATAGGAAGGTTTCCACAAATTCAAGGCCAGCCTGAGCTATATATCAAGACCCTGTCTCAAAAAATTGAAAAAAAAATTATTGAGAATTTCATACCAGCATATGAGCACTCAAAAAAATTTTAACCTAGGATCTGGAGAGGTGGCTCAACTTTTAAGAACACTGATTGTTCTTGCAGAGGACCCAAGTTCGAGTCCCAGCACCCACATGGTGGCTAACATCCATAACTACAGTTCCAGGGGATCCAACGCCCTCTTTTGACTTCCTCTGGCACTGAATGGCATGCATGCCCTTACACATATGCAGACAATACACTCGTACACATAAAATAAAAATAATAAATAAAATATTTTTAAAAATACTTTCATATATTAACAAAACTAATTTTGTTGTAAGTTCTGTTACATTCTAATTATTACAAAGAACATTCTTTGAGTCATTATTTCTTTTAGTAACAATCCTCCCATAATTATTATTTTTATTCCCTAGAAGTATGATTTCCATTGACTGAGACCAAAAAAACAGACAAAAATTAGGAAGTGTTTTTTAGTAAGAATCAGCATAACTCATCATCTAAACAATGGCACTTACGAAGCCAAGCAGGAGGCATTCCCGTTCCTGCAATCCCAGCACTTGGGAACTGAGTCAGGACTGTGAGTTCCAGGCCACCCTGAGTTACATAGTGAGAGCCTGGCTCAGAAAACAAACAACAAACAAGACAAAGCAGAGACAAAAATGCCATTTTGAGAGAAGGAGAAACACTAAATAAAATGAGGTTACTCTGATAAACAGTGACTGGGAGCTGAAGCCTGCGTAACCTGTCCTGAGCTGTTCATTTAACGATACCCCGTCCTTGCTTCCTTCACCCACATGAGCTGTCTTCTCAGCACACAAAAGCACTTGCATCAAAAATTGCTCTTTTGTATCCATATCATAGTTTTCTCTGAATAGAGTGACTTCTAGATTTCCATTTCTGAGAAACATGTTGAGCGTCTGGAGAACATTTCCTGGTATAGGTCACAAAAATATGCTTAATAAAATTGTTTAAAACTGTAACAGAGCAGAATAAGCCAGAAGATAAAAGCCTGCGGAACCCAGAAAGCGAGCAGGGGACATGAACAGCGCTTGCCTTGAAAGTTTCCGTGGTCCTTCCTGCTTCAACAGGAAGGCCAGAGGCATTCTTGGCATGTAAATAAGCGGGGATGTGGTTTAGAGACCACTTTTCTAATGTGGGGTCTGAGAGATCATATCCTTGGGGGTCTAGCGTCCCTTAGTCTTCAGGATGGGGTAATTTAGACTTCTTCATTATGATTTTTTGTTTCTGAATTTTCTGTTTCCTAGACCTAAGGTATAACAGCGTATACTTACATAGAATTATGGAAAGCACACTTGACACTACCAAGGGCTTTGAGACAATGATTCTTTAGTGCATATGTCAGCGCATTGAGCCCAAACAGTGCACAGTACATGGCAGAGCACCATCTCCTCTCTGGTTACAGGTGAGAATTTGGTTTTAAACTATGTAATTATATAAAAGGCCAGGCATATAGCAAACAGAAAAACCAGGATTTGAACTCAGTGCGATTGATTGCAACTGTGTTCTTGTGAATCTTGAACCTTGTGCCTCAGGCTTGAGGATTGTTGGGTAGGCATTTCCTCCGAGGAAACTAGAACTGAACCCCCTAGAAACAGACGCTGCTGAGAAATGCTGAACACACTTGGAAAAAGCGGAGGGGTAGTCGCCATTTTGGAAAGTCTTGCGCTGATGGCAGAGGTCTCAAATATGAGAGAGGAAGAGCCCATGAGAGTTCATATCTTTGTAAGTGACCCTCTCTAAGCTTTGTTTGGAAGCCCAAATAAATATTCTTAGTCCCCAAACTGTAACTTAAGAGGAACATTGTGATGGTTTAGTTAGAACCCAGCTCTCTGGAATCCCCTAGAGAACGTGGGTCTCTCAAGGGAAATTTTGGTGTGACAAGGATATCCCTAAAGCACCAAGAATATGTGTCCAAACCCATACAGGTCATTTGCTATAGAGACCCTGTTGATGAGGTTCACACATGCTGGAACTTGCTGCGAATGAATTTTTGAGCATACATGCAAAGACTTTATCTGGAGCAGATATGAGTGTAGTTTTTGTCTAGTTTAGGTAAAACAATCTCTAGATAAGAATGGACAACTTCCTTAGTCTACAATCTATTAGTGATGTCTCAGAGAACAGAGTGGATCATTTGAAACATAAGTATTCTGATCATTAGAACATCCATGAGGAAATACAGAATGTAAAACTGTCCATCTTTTAAAAGACGGTTCATGTCCTCTAGGATAAGGGGAAGCCTGGAACTTTAACCCATGTCTGCCTGTGAGGGTAGCTGAATGCCCTTCTGACTGCTCCTCCAAGGGGGGTAGTCTTTTGAGTTTTGTTTTTGCTTTTGTTTTGAATTAGCATAAAAGCAGCAGGTTTCCTCGTGGCTTATTTACACACTCAATTTTGTTTCTCTCCCAATTTCCTGCTGAAGGAATTTTCATCTCTAACTTTCACCTGGAAACAGGCTAACTCAAGTATCTCTCCCAGTTGGTTTTTAGGCTCATCTTTGTGACTGATGTGTAATCTTGAAGCTATATATACCTACCTGCTTTAGTCATTTTTTTCAAACTTCCTTTTAAGTCATCAACAGTAAAGTAACAGTAAAGTCCCCAGGTAACTTAGGGACTAGGTTGAAAGACAGTGTCTCTCCGTGTGCCCACTGTCCACAGCAGGAAGGAAGCAGGTACCCAGGAAGTGCAGCCTGGTGCATTCTGGGAAAGTGTAGGAGATGAAAGTCTGAGCTGATCTGTGCACAATGAGGAGTGGGTAATTGTGAAGGGAAGGACTGGGACATGGTGTGAATTCCTGTGGTAAGGTAAGTGCTAATGTTGCATTTTTTTCTGTGTTGAGAGTATTTTAGAAATCTTGGCAGCTGATGACTGCTGGATGAGGGAGAGCTGATCTTCTTTAAGCTGATCTTCTACATAGGCTGACTAGACTCCAGTGGATGAACTTACACAGAGAGACATCTGGATTGAAAGGCTTGATTTGGTAGGCCTTAACATATACAACACTATGCACAAGTTCTGGTGGCAGGGATGAAGGGGGTTCAAATGGGGGAGGGAGTTTAAAATGCACAAAAATTCAATAAAAATATACATTGAGAAAAAAGAAAGAGGGATAGGAAAGAGGTGCTAACTATGCAGCAAAAGAAGCAAGGTTAACATATGAAGCTCTTGTGTTTTGGAAACAGTGAAGCAAAAAAAAATCAATTTCTCTTTCAAAAGCTCCTTTTCACTAAAATGGAGAAGAAAGAGAAACAAGGCATCAATTATGAGTCAAGGGTCACAGCATGACGTATTAGGGAGGCTGGCCTCCGGGGATGGTAGTTTCTGATGTAGATATCACTAGACGTGTCAAAGATCAAAACACTTAATCCATAACAGGTATCTTTGAATCCTTAGCAAGGAGCTCTGACCTGGGGACTATTCTGATGGTTCCTTCACAGTGTCCTCTTAGGAAATGGACAATAAGAACAGGACAACGGGAGCAGAAAAGAAATCGACTTCAATGTAGTTATTTATAGGCAGAAGGTAAAGATCACAAATTCCTCCCACATGGAACTGAGGGCCTGGACGGTTCTATTCCCCAAAGTCAGGAACCTCTGCTCCTTATGGTGAAAGAAAACCAATGAGGCTGGGGAGAGGGAACAGCTACTCCATGTGGCCAAGTCAATTCTTTTGTCAGAAGCTACAAATCTTTATTACTCAACATTGTTTTCAGAGATGGATGCACACAGGATCCCAAAGAGGGTCTGGGTGAAACCCAACACCACCCAGTAGCACAGGGTCATATGGTGAAAGTGAACAGTGATGAGGAAGGCAGATAAAGCTAACCCTCAGGATTAGGTTTGCATAGACCCTGACTGAGTGACAGATTTTTTGAAAGTTTTTGTCTAGGAAGAGGATCACCACATAAAGTTTGATTTGAGGGACACAAAGAAGGTTCTTTTGGAAAGGTGGGTAAAGAGGCTATTCTATTCTTCATGACAGCATGAGAATAATGTCCAAATGGTGCATATCATCACTTCCAGCTGAGTTAAAGAAAGACATAAACTAGATAAAAAGCAAACAATGAGCTCAGTCACCCACTGGGAAAGAACATATCTCAGAAACTGCTTTTAACACTCAAGGGAGCCTAGAGGAAATTCTCACTTCTCTTTCTCTCCAAACATATTTTTTCTAGATTGATCATGAATTAAGAAGATGATTTGGGGTGACCTTATTCAGAAAATGATCTTATTTTATCTTACTGGATCTGGAATTTTGGCAAATGTCTTAATATTTGTGAGGCATGTACGCACATTAGTCGTGGGTCCTGAGAGAAAACCCATGGACCTTATCCTCATCCACTTGACATTTTCAAACACAATCATTATTTGTCACACAGGGATCATAATTGTGGCAGCAGTTTTTTCTTTCAGGGAGTTCCGGGGTGATTTTGGTTGTAAAACTGTGGTCTATCTCTCAAGAATGGCCCGGGGCCTTTCCATCTGCACCACCTGTCTCCTCAGCATGGTCCAGGCTGTCACCATCAATCCAAGAACCACCCTATGGACAAAGCTCAAACCACAGACTACACGGCAAGTTCTTCCCCATCTCCTCCTCTTCTGGGTCTTTAATTCTCTGATAAGCTCCAACTTGCTCCACTACATCACAGCAGGCAGCAGTGTGAACATGTCTAGAGTTGGAATGTATGCTGGGTATTGCTATATGGTGCCACCCAGGCTCACAGTTAGGTTACTTTTCCTCTCTCTAATGACTATTCGTGATGCCATCTTTCAGACTCTCATGGGCTGGAGCAGTGGCTCCATGGCTCTCCACCTGTATAAACATCACAAGCGTGTCCTCTACCTTCACAGCTCCAGGTTTGCGAACAAGTCCAGCCCAGAAATCAGAGCTGCACAGAGCACTCTCATTCTCATGGCCTGCTTCCTCTGCTTTTATTGGGCAGATTTCATTTTCTCCTTCTACATGGGTTCCACCTTGACATATGATTCCTCAACACTAAATATTAAAATATTGTTAGAACTTGGTTATGCCAGTACCAGTCCCTTCATCCTGATCAGCAGGGGCATCCATGCAGCTAAACCCTTGTGTGCTCACTGAGGACTGCAAACAGTACATTCTACATCCAATGTGAACTAAAGTATATATGTTAGGAATGATTTGTCCAGATGTTCTAATCTACCAGACCATTATATTAATAATCTAGTACAGGAATTGCCTAGCCTAAGGATAGTTCAAGGGTTCAAGAATAGTCACAAGATATCATTATCAGCCCCCCAATATACTGTCACTGTCATGTGACATTCTTGCTTATCTAGGAAAAAATTTTGGATGTGTCACTACTCCTAGACATCAAAATTTGTTATTTTCCTGGAGCCTGAGCTTTTAATCAAACAGGAATCCCTGACAGCTTCCTACCTCTGTGTTCCCTCAAGTGGACCTCAGGTGTGGCCTTCTAAGAAAAGTTACTTAGCACCTACTAAGTATGAGCCATAACTTCCCAATGAACAATAAGTATAAGGGCAGACAGGAGATACCACTCATCTAAAGTCAGCTTGCAGGACAGACTGAAGATGACCATGAGGAAAGATAACTGGCCTCTAGGACCTTGTTCATGTGATCTCACAGCAATGGTGACAGATGCACAAGATCCATGCAAACTTCCTCAGACCAAAACACAGCGTAGAACTGAGAAAATGGGCAGCAGGCCCCAACCTCAGCCTAAGAACTATTGGCAGTTGGTTACTGCTGGGTGAGAGTTGATCTTCTTTAAGGGAGAGACTCTAGAGAAGCTGACTAGACTCCAGTGGATTAACTGCACTACGGGACCTCAGGGTACACAAACTTGACTCAGTAAGTGCATATATATATATATATATATGTATGTATATATGTATATATATATATGATAGCATGAAATCTGGTGGGGGGGAATATGGGAGGCTGCAGATGGGGAGGGGCTATAAAGATAATTAGGATGTTTATTATGAAGCACACAATACATTTAAAAAAAGAATCGAGGTCCCAGATTTAAGTCCACGCATTTACCTGTTTTTGCCAATGTGGAAGAATGAAACTAGGTCCGTATCTCTCACCCTGCACCCTGTTCTCATCTCCAAATTAATAAAAAAAACCTTGACATAAGGTTGGATACCCTGAATCTGATAGAGGAGAAAGTGGGCAATACACTAGATGTAGAACTTACAGGCACAGGACAGGACTTATGAACAGGACCTAAGTAACACAGGTACTAAAAACAACTATTGACAAGCAGGATCTTAAGAAACTGAAAAGTTTCTGTACAGCAGAGAATACCATCACTTGAGATAAGAGGCATCCTCCTGGATGGGAAAAAAATCTTTACCAGCTATAGAAAGACTAGAATATACAAAGATCTCAAAAAACAAAGTATCAAGGAAACCAACAACCCAATCAAAATTTTCAGGAAGGGATAAACAGAGTTCTCAAAAGAAGAAATGCAAATGGATGATATTTTCTTTAATGTACACATTTGGTAGTCATCAGGGAATGCTAATTAAAACTACTTTGAGATTTCATTTTATCCCAATCAGAATGGATGGTTAAGATCCTCAAAAACTCTGGCTAGAATGTAGGGAAAGGGGAACATTTACTCCCCTGGTGAGAGTATAAATTGATACAGCCAGTATGGAAATCTTTGTTAGGTTTCTGGAAGGCTAGAAATAGAACTACCACATGGTCCAGCTATACCACTCTTGTACCCAAAGGACTCTGTATCCTACTGCAGAGATACTCATCCATGTTCATTGTTGATCTATTCACAACATTCAGAAAATGGAAACAGCCTAGATCTCCACCACCTGAGCAATGGGTAATGGAAACATGCTACATTACACAGTGGATTATTATTTGGCTGTTAAGGAAAATGAAATTCTGAACTTCACAGATAAATGCATGGAACTGGAAACAATCGTCCTGAGTGAGGTGACCCAGACCCAGAAAGTTAAATATCACAAGTTGTCTCTCATGAATTGATGCTAGTTTTGAATTCTTAGATATGTGTGGTTCAATGGAAAATCCTTAGAGTTCAAACAACCAGTAATGTGGTATGGTGGAGATCATTGGACAGAAGATAGAATGCAGTAATACAAAGAGGGATGGAAAAGGAAGGGTTAAATAAGATGGGGAATGGGGGAGCACATGGAGGGATAACTAACACTTGGGGCATTTTTAAAAAGTCAAATGGTAACCTACTATATATAAATATATATATTTATTTATATACATTATAATATGTATGAATTAGTGACTTTTCTGTTGCTGTGATAGAAACACTGACAAAGGCAATTTATAGAATGAAGAGTTTGTTTGAGCTTACAGTTCCAGGGGCATTACAGTCCATCATGGCGGGAGGCGTGGTGGCAGAGGTGGCTGGAGGAGGAGCAGAAGCTAAGCTCTCAAATCTTCGAGCAGGCACAGGAAGCACAAAAGCAACTTGAGACCCAGCAAGGCTTAAGAATTCTCTAAACCAGCCTCAGTGATGGTTTCCCTCCAGCATAGCCATACACTCTAAGAACTCTCAAAACAGCACCACCAACTGGGGACAGAATGTCCAAATACTTGGACCCTATGGGAGACATTCTCATTCCACAATACATAAATTATAATATAGAAATATATATTATACTATAAAAAGAGTTCACATGGAGTTGTCTTATAATGAAGAGACAGCGGCCCTACCAGATAGCATAGATTAAGAAATTTAAAACCTAGTGCCAGGAATGGACTCCCTCTTTTGGATTTGTTGACCAAAGAGATTCCATAGATCCTCAAACAAAATTGGCTCTTGCCAATGTGTCGGGACTCAGGTTTGCTTTGCTTAGCGGGGGGACCTACTGGCTTTGGGGCAGAGAGACATGATCGGTGACAGAGCCTTAGACCCTGGGACCTGTGTCTTTTCTACAAGCTGCTTTATTTTAAAATTCAGAAGGTTTTTATACATCCCAAGGAACTAGCAGTCACATGGGATATGTCAGTCACACACAAAGATTTAGGTTACAAAGAAACAGGACATTTAGTCTGTAAGTTGGCACCAGAAGGATTCTTAAACTTTTACTCAAGGTTATCAATGCCCATCGGGTAATTAATTGGCGGGCCAAGAACTTGGACTTAGACAGACCCCAGGCTGTATGGAAGAATCCATCACTATCATTCTGATAAATGGATATAATACTAAACAATTCCTAATGACTTATTGTTATACCATAGATTAGTGCAGATCAACTCTCACCAAAGAAACTTCTTCTAGCCGAAGAGAGTAACACAGAGAGACACAACTGGTCAATATGCAAAGAATAAGGACCAGTGGAGCCCTTGGCCCCAAGTGGGACACTTACATCACACACTCTCCTCTCAAGGTTCAAGGATCAGTGAGGAGAGAAAGCAGAAACATTGTAAGAAGAGGTCATGGATGAATACAATGGAACTGTATTTCTTGTATACAACAGAGCAGCTACATTTATGAACCCAGAGCACTTGTGACAGCTTGTACAAGGTCTGCACGATCCCAAGCCAGGTGAAAAAAATACAGCGTGGATAGCAAGAAGCCCCATGAGCTATTGATTGACCAGGCCCCATGTAAGGGAACCACACAAAAAAAGCATTTGGGGAACAAAAGATTCAACTTGATAGGCCTTAACTAATAATAGAGGACATGAAGGGAAGGGAGTCAGGATGTGCAGTGGATCTGAATGGGAATACATGAGGGCTCTGAATATCACTGAAATACTTTTTATGGTATTCTCAAAGAACCAAGAAAATATTTTTTAATCCATGGTGGATAGGTGTGTCCTCCAAAAGAACCAGTTTCAGCTGAATATCTGAACCCTAGAAGACTCCATAGAGGGAGAGACAGTCACCCCTCCCATCCGATCGGTCAGCTTCAGTTGCATGAAGGGGTGCGTCTAAGGACAGACACAGAGGAAGCCAGGGAGGCCACAGGAAGTCACTATCTTGGTGGCACTCTGGTGGCGGTCAATCTGAAAAGACTCAGCTGAGATGTAGGGGGAAAGCCCATGGGTGCATGCCTTTGTCTTTTGTTTTATTCAATATTTTATTAATTTGTTTTTTTTATGTGCATGTGTGTTTTGCCTGAATGTAAGTAAGTGCACCCATGTAGTACAATACCCTTGGAGGACAGAAGAGGCTGTCAGATCCCCTGGAACTGGAGTTACAGACAGTTGTTAGCTGCCATGTAGGTGCTGGGAGTTGAACCCAGGTCTTCTGCAAGAACAGCCAGTGTTCTTAACCACTGAGCCATCTCTCCACCCCGGATGCATGCCTTTGTGAATAACTGTCTTCCAGACATCAGAAACTCTATACAAAAACCCGAATAGAATGCATTGTGCTGGCTTTGTCAGTCGGTCTAGGGACACTGTTGGGCCTGGGAGCCAAAAGAATGCAAGCATGGGCCTCCTAGAAGAGAATTTGGCTTTACACATTGGCACAGCAAGCAGGATACAGAGGATACAACAAACCACGGGAGTTTGGGAAGAGCAATGATGTTGTCTCTGATATGGAGAAAGGCTGAAGCAAAGTTGGGGGAGGGGAGAATGTGGGAAATCCCCATAATCATACTGGGGTTAGCAGCAGTCACGTGGATTACACAGTGGATGAGATATCTAACTGAAATGAGGCCACCTGCATGGATGAGGACAAGTTCAATGGGGGAAATCCCCAGGTGGCCACCATCTTGTGAAAGGCGTAAAATAGCACAGTTGCTAGAACAATGGGGGTCGCTGCCACATGTGTATGAAAATTCTTTAAGGACTATGAAAAGTCTAGAAAAAATTTTACAACCCCTGGAAGCAAAATGGAAATCAAAAGAAAAAGGTGATGCTGAAGTCTCTTGGCCATTTCTTTGCAAAATAAAAGACTTGTACAAAGTGGAAACAGTTGCCCCAGGGTGACTTAAAAGACTAAGAGAGAGCTGCCGGGGAATTCAGTATTGGCCTCAGAACTCGCAAATAAACCACATGGGAGAGAGAGGGAACTGGAGGTTTTTAACTTGCTTAAGGCTAGGGGACTATAGAGGAAAGAGAGCCCAGATCAGATCTGTGATA